ATGTCATAAATATTGTTTAAACAATAAAAAAAAATATTTCCCCCCTTCCAAAGGTTTCTGATTTTGAATAATATAAAAAAAACAATTTAAAAAAAAATATATATCTAAATCGAAGCTGTTCCACCGGGTTTCCAAGTTTTGCCTGTTTTATGTCTTTATTGACTTGACTATGAGATATCATTACTTAGTATTGAGATTTAATGTGTGTTATGTGCATTGTGTATGTTATATAGCAAATATACATATATTGGGATAGTTTCAAATATCTGCTTGTAACGGTTCCAACGCTACAATTATAAAAACATTGTATGGGTACCCCTCATATTTTTTAACTTTTTTTTATTTTTAGATTTTTTCCTACGTTAACACACAATTACCGAGCTGGAATCCAAATTTCATCCTTCTACGTCATCTGGAAGTAGGTTAGATTTAGGTATCATATGTCAGTCAGTCAGTGCTAAAAATGGCTTTTTACCCGACTGCGCAATGCAAGAGCGCGAAGCGCGACGCGCAGACAGGGTATAATGTTTAACAGTCTATATATGTATGTTTGTTCCTTTGTGGCACACTAGAGACCAAACGCCTGGACCGATTTTGATGATTCATACATCAATCGGTTCGTCTCAATCATGGGAGTGCTACTAAAGATATGATAGTAATCAAACTTCAATATCGGCAAAATTAGGCGCCATATTGTGACGAAGTAAAAAAAATAACTTGACAAAATATGTCACTGTCTAGATAATCGAAAATCATGTTTAGGTTCCTAACACCATTTTTCATTTTATTTGATTGTTTAGGATCTACGACGCTTTAAAGTTGTATGTACTTGCGCTTTTAATTTCAATCTTACGTTTGTATGGATCTTTGTTACTCTTTCACCTAAAAAATACTGAATGGATATTAATGAAAATTAACAGTAATATAGCTCATATATGATAATAACATATATATAATAATGTATGTAGTTATTGAGTGAATTGGCCAAAATATAACAATAACTGAAATATATGACGGGAAAAAATCTCCCATCTGCGAGCCATTTTGCGAGCAATTTCAACTACCAACCACTAATTAGTATATTCTCTGTAAGTTCTACCATTACCCATTATTGAAACATATTATGTATTCTTGAATATCTAATGGGTCCCGGCTGTTAAAGTAGCTTTGTTCCTTATTTAACAGAATTATAGACTACTGGACTTGTTTTTTTCTTTTCAGTTTTTATTTAAAGTATCATAAGCAGTCGTGTTTTTTGATTTTTAAATTTTTTTACCTTCATATCTTTATAACCGTTTGAGCTAGCTTCATGTAATTTGGGCTTCTAGATATCCTTATGGATATGATTAAACACGTAGTTTTATATGTTTACGTTAAAGAGGTTTTGAGTTACAGAAGAGTCATAAGTGGCACCAAGTGGTTCGTCTAATATTACACTCGGCGCTGGCTAGCCCTTTGCTTGAACTTGGCTTGAAACGCTTCCGCGAGTATAGATTTGAATTGTTTGTTAAAACTTTTGGAAAAAGTGACAGATAGATAATTATGATTAATGAATATTTCTTTTAATTTTATGCAAACATTTTTTTTCTTTTGTGAATAATCTTTACCCTTCCTAAGGGCCCTCAAACAAATTTTTATACGGGGCCCCTCCAAGACACGCTACGCCACTGTAACAGTGTAACAGAAACTATCTATCATCTTTGCTCTGCTTAATCTTAATTTGTGCAGAAATTCATATTATGTAGTAATTATTAATATATGCTTTGCATGTTGGCTATTTTCTTTAAAAAAACTGTATTTCTGTATCTTTTTTAGAGATAAGCCCACCTTTGCTTACTATGTATTTGACTATATGTTTTAAACTATATGATGCAATAAAGAGTATAATATTTTGGAGGGATTTCGGGTAAGATTTGGGGGGAAGGCGAAATGGCTTTCTGGTAACACTTCAGCACTGCCATTCACAGATTACTAACTAAGACCTGTCATTCTATTATCGCCTTCTTCATCGTCGTTTCCTCATGGCTGAGGGTCGTGACCTTTCAGGACAGCACATTTTACCAACGATCTCCAGACCGTTCTGTGTTCTGCAAGGCGAATGGACGCCTGCAAGTTGCCATTCGTACTTTCTTTAACTATGTCCAACCACCGGGATGGAGACCTGCCCCTACTCCTCTTGCCTTCCACGTTTCCAACGACCAAAAGCTTTTCAAAATTATCCGGGCTTCTCCTTGCTACGTGACCGAAGTATTTTAGGAGGCGCTGCATGCAGACAGAAGAGAGACGCGTCTTGATACCCAGCTCCTTCAAGATAGATGCATTAGTTCTTCGTGCGGTCCAAGGTATGTGTAGCATTCTGCGCCAACACCACATTTCAAATGCATCAATCCTGGAACGGACGCGTGCTTTCAACGTCCAGGTTTCGGAAGCGTACAAGAAAATCGAGAAGACCAGGGCTCGCATCAGCCGCACTTTAGTGGATTTAGTAATTCCTCTGTTCTTCCAGATCCTCTCCAATCGCTTCACGGCAGCCTTTGCCATCTGTCCGCGTCTGACCACCTCCGCCTCGCAGTCCCCGTCATTGCGTATAAGTGATCCCAGGTATACAAAACTGGTAACTGTGTCTAAATCACTCAGCTCAAATGTTCTTACCAACTTGTCAGCTCTATCGACAAACATAAGCTTGGTTTTGTCACGGTTTATACAAAGGCCATATTCCACGCTGACGTCTTGAACCTTGCGCAGTAGGAAAGCCAGTTCTCGTTCATCGGCTCCTATTATGGTCGTGTCATCGGCGAAACGTAAGTTATTGATAAGTTGGCCCCCTATTCGAATACCACCTTTCCAGTCCTCGAGTACTCTGCGCATTATGTGCTCACCAACTAGGTTGAACAACTGGGGTGATAGTATGCATCCCTGACGTACACCACGAGCTGGCTTAAAGGAGTCGGAGACATAACCCTCCATTCTCACCCTGCTCCTGCCAGTAAGGTATAAATTCTGCACCAAGGAGACCAGATGCCTAGGCACACCCATCTCCACCATCACCGCAAACATTTTGGCCCAATTTACACAATCAAAGGCTTTTGCGTAATCAATGAAGCATAACACCATTGGAACGTTGAATTCACGGCTTTTTTCGATTAGCTGTCTGATATTTAATATTTGTTCGCGAGTACCCTTGCCCTTGACGAATCCAGCCTGTTCTCTCGCTATTTGCCTACCGATATAACGTTCCAGCCGTTTGTTGAGGATATGTAGCAACACTTTACTGGCGTGGGGAATCAGTGAAATGGTCCGGTAATTTGTACATTTGCGGGTGGATCCTTTCTTGTGCAGCGGAATAACTACAGATTCTGTCCAATCCTCAGGCCAATGTCCGGTATCCCACACTTTTTGGCATATCGTGTGTAATGTTTTGATGCCATCTGTACCTAGGCGCTTGATCATTTGTGCGGTGATTCCGTCGCCACCACACGCTTTCAGTTTCAGCTTGTCAATTGCATTTTCCACTTCGCGCAACATTATATTGGGTTCCATGTCAGCATCGTTATAGACCACCTCGTCTTGATCTTTGGAATCGTCGCTGTACAACGTTTGGCAGTAGCTCCTCCATCTTTCAAGTATTGCTTGTCTGTCTATTAGTGGGACTCCTTCAGCATCTTCAATAGTCCAAGATTGAGGTTTGGATTCCTTTGTAAGCAACTTGATCTTGCGAAACATGTCACCCGCGTGCAATGTGTTAGATTCCTTCTCAATCTCGTCGCACAATCGGTTTAAAAACGCATCTTTATCCCTTCTGCACAGTTTTTGAACCTTTGCATGGAGCATTAAGTATTGTTCACGTGTGGCATCATTTGTTAAGCCTGATTCTTTTACTGACCTTCTTTCCATCACCGCTTCCCAAGTCGTATCAGTCATCCATTCAGCTCTTGGTCGATCACGACTGGAAGCTAAAACTGCTTCTTTAGCTATCTCCAAGACTGTGTTTTTAAAAACACCCCATGCATCATTAGCCGAATTAAAAGGGTTATTCTTAGAACAAGGAAGTCTGCTTTCTACAAGTTCCTGGAATTTCGCTAAGGCAGTGTGATCAAGCTTAATTGGCTTTTGGGTAGGGAAATTCTTAAACGACTTCAGGCGAATTTTAACCTTTGCATGTAGCAGTTGATGGTCGCTACCACAGTCAGCTCCAGGTCGTGTTTTAACGCTTTGAACAGAAGATCTCTACCTTTTACCCATTAGTACATAATCAATCTGGTTCTTGTAGTTACCGTCTGGTGATGTCCAAGTATATAATCGTCTGACATGTTGTTGGAACCAAGTATTCATTATCGTAAAACCGTTCTCAGCGCAGAAATCCAGTAATAGCTGCCCACGTTCGTTCTTTTGCCCCATGCCGTATCGGCCCACAACATCCCTTAGGTGCTCATCCATCGATGTATCGCCAACCTTTGCATTTAGGTCACCCATGAGAACAGTGGGTTCCTTACTGGGAATAGAATTATATACAGTTGATAGATCCGCGTAAAAGTTGCAAATTTCATCGTCCGAAGATTTGGATGTTGTATTCGTAAGTACTATTATCGCCAGTCCAGTGCATATAGAAAGAAAGGTGAAACTTTTGGCGGGATTTCACCGAGTGCGGTTGGCGTCTTATTTTAAATTCGTTCATAGTGGATATTGTGAAATAAAATTGGTGTGGTTTTGTGTAACAACTGTCTGCGTAACTGAAGTAGTGGAATCATTAAAATATACGTATATTAAAATTAGAATGCGTCACACCGACATTCTAATGTAAAAACAAAAAGAAGATTAGTTTAATTAAAGACCAGGCTGTATGGGCATTGTTCCCTTTGCCTTCCCTAAAACGGGAACATCAACAAAAAAAATAGAAAGAAAGGTAAATAAACCAAAAGTATCACATATTTTAGTACGTGCCATAGTATCTCTAACTAGTCTGTGGTACGTGCGTTCAATTGCTTAAATAATCAAAAAAAATGCCGTCTTGTGTGGTGAAATCTTGTAAAAATTACATGACTAAACTTAAAAAGTCACAAGGGATCACCTACCATAAGTAAGTATTGACGATGAAAATTCTGAACAAAAAATACAAATTAATGTGTGGGTTCTTTTTTATCGTGAAATCTTCCCTAAAGGTGGAGAATTTTGTATTTCTGGCATTTGTGACAAGGTAAGATCAGGTTCCGTAACTTTTTAGGGTACCGTATCCCATAAGGAAAAGAATAGAATCCATATTAACCATATAGTATTTTATAATAATAATCTTAACTCTTGCCTAATGCCGCCTTTCTAATAGGTTTCCTAGAAGTAAAAACCGTAGAGATGACTGGGTTTCAATTATTCGAAACAGCAGAGGAGAAAACAATTGGAACCCATCATCTGCCAGTACTGTGTGCAGTGCACATTTTGATGACGTTGATTTCAAAACTACAGCTAAGGGTCTACGTTGTTTGGTTCCGTTCGCCATTCCAAAAAGGGTAAGTTTTTGTACTGTATTTGTACTATTTGTTTATAATTTTTTGTTTCTTTGGCGGCTCTCAGTCTTATTTATTTTATTACTTGCAGTTACTTTCAAACTATCCAGAAACACAAACACATAGCACTTCGCCACCTATACTGCAGGTATTGAGTATTTTATAAATAAGATACTTGATAATTTAATTTTAATGCAATATTTAATATGTTTATTTCCATTTTTTAAGATATCATCAAATGTTAGAGAAACAGATAAATATCAACAGCCAACATCATCGTCTATGTTGCAGGTATTGTGTATATTAGGTGCCCTATTAAAAATTTAAGTAGGAACTAACATAATAATATCAGTAGGCTATAGAATATATTACATATATAATATTATGAATGTCATTCTTTTAGGTACCTGCAATCACCGATGAATTTAAATTGAGTGGATATTGCCGATTATGTGCCATATCAATATGTGATGGCATGTTAGTAAATGTTCAGAGTGACAATAGTATGAAAAATTTAATAGTAAAAATGTCAAATAGACTAAATACCAATATTGACTTCAGCCAAAAACATCTGCCAACAACCATTTGTTCTATTTGTATCAAGTTATTGTATACGGCTTATGATTTCGTTGTTGGTATAGACCTGGCACAAATGACTTTAAATAAAATATCAATGCAGAAAGACAATTCTCAGAGGCCAGTATATTTAAATCAAGACAACAACAGTGATTTGTCAAATACATTTACACAGCAGGTATAGGAACAGACACAAATAACTAAATTTTTAAGTCATGGTTGTATAATTTATCTTAATATTTTTTTTTTCTTTAAGACAAACAACGGATCAGAAGCATGTGATTTAGGTAACCCTTGGTTACATGTATCAAGTGAAATTACTTCTTCACAACAAGTATAAACTTTTTTTGAATTAATGCTCTCCTTTTTGCATTAGGACTTTACAATTTTGACTTTATTGTTCTGTTTTAGCTATCACCAAAAATTGAAGCAATGTCACGACCAAATTCAGTTGAATTATCTCAGAATAGCCCTTTTATGCTAGATACGCCCAGAAAATGTCGATTGAAGGACAATCTTTATAAGAAAAGCGTAATTATTGATCAACAAAAAAAGAATTTAAAAAGATTGAACCAAAAAGTTAGGAGATTGCGAAATCGGAATGAATCACTTAAAAATATTCTAAAAAATCTTAAAGATAGAAATAAAGGAAGCTATAAGAAACATCTAACACATTTGGAAATAGAATATATTCCTACTGGCAACTGTTCCTTTGGAGAAAGTGGCTATCCTAACTTAGATTAAAACAAACAGGGCAGATACGGCACTAGCTTCACAAAAGTGATCCGCATAAATTGTGGTCCACGACCCTTATCGCTTTAATCACAACTTGCCATGCAAACGACGTACATGTGAACGCCAAAAAGAAATTTTGCTAATATTTTGTGTTTATATGATAAAACAATGCCTAAGTGTGTTTTTAAAAAGTGCTCAAATTGCTCAAGACTATAAATAAAACCCACGGCATCACTTTTCATTCGTAAGTACTATAAAATATATATTTTCATAAAAATTGCTGTTTGTTTTGAATCTTATTCAGTCGAAGTGACGTCGAGTACTGGTCGCGTGATTGGTCGGTAATGCAGTGACACGGATCTCGCCGTCTCGTTCGCGCTGCAGTTGAAACTTATCGTGCTGTTTCGTTCGGGCCGGTAATGCAGTGACGCGGATCTCGCCGTCCCGTTCGCGCTGCCGTGGGATCAGTTTTTGTTTGATGCAAGTATGAGCGTACCGTATCTACCCTTTTTGTTTTAATCTAAGTATCCTAAGGGCGCGTTTATATGACACAGAATGTCACAGCATGGCGGCCGCGCGGCGTCTCAACCTGGTGGCCCCGCCACTGCGAACCCGATTCATTTCCTTGATCTTTCTTAAAATTCACACGTCGTGTTCGTTATGGGCAATTTGACTAAGAAGAAGAAAAATATTATTGCATATTACTTGTACCGACAAAGCAAAAAATAAGAAAAAGGAAACGTAGAAGATCTTGGATTCATCTAGCACGGCGAGAAGAGTTTGGTGAATTTCACACGTTATACAATCAACTGCGACAAGATGAAAAAGAATTCGCGGATTATTTCCGAATGGATGTTAAAACATTTGATACATCGAGAACATTCAAGCGAGGCGGCCCCGCGACCGCTGTGTGATCGAGGAGCGGACGCCGCGCAGTTAGTTACTCACAAAGAAGTTAGTACGCGGTCACCCGGCCGCAAGATTTTTTTCGCATCGTCTAACTGCAGCCTAAATTGCAGATCTAGTTCCAAAATAATCAACTACTACTCCATATCATCGCCATGACGAAGATGAACATTCATGTTTCTTCAGTTAACTTCTTGGAGAAATGTAATTCTAATTTATTGTCGGTATATTGTAATTGGATATTTAACGGACAATATAGCCTATTCATTGCATAAAACATTAAAATGTCAAATTTGTTTGACTCAGTTTAATAACCAGCGAAATTCTATATTTTCATAAATTGATTTTAAAGAAAAATAAAGGAAGGTTGTGGTTCCCATTTTTACTTTACTTTTTTTTTAAATGTAATAAGCACCGAAGTTATTGGTTCTTATAATTAAAATACTGTCATATAAATCATGCCTTTTTTTAAAGCATTTCAAAGAAATTGCATTAGTTTCGTTGCCTTCGTAACGTAAGTCATCTCTCCATCTTTATCCCTGCATCGGCTACATCCCTCCCTATTCGCTCTCGGAGTAACCCAAGCTGCAGGCCAATTAATATTGTTTTGATGTCAATTTCACATTACGTATTATGCTCTCCGAAAAATGCGACATCAAAGTGACATCAACTATAGACATCAACTTATGCGTATTATGATCAACTCTTTAAAATCCTCTGCTCCCACCCACGGGTAAATTATGCTTTAGTGATATTATAATCCTAATGTGATGTCAATATGATGTTGATGCCAAGTTGACATTGTTTTTAAATAGTATTATGAAACATTCCTATGTCATATCAAGATCATATCAATATCTTAACCTGTAACACATTTTTGACGTTTATGCGATACTGTTTTAAGTCAAAAAGTTCAACGTAATACGCATAAGTTGACGTCATTTTGATAATAATTGGCCTGCTGTACTGTTGAATAGTCATATCGGCAGAACTACTGGGATTTTTTTTACCATTAGTTCTGTGAACAGAACAAATGGGAATTGAATTACCAGTAGTACTGTTCACGAACAAACTACTTCTCCATGGAGTTTGCTATCAATTATCAAGAACTGGCCACTTGAGGTAAGTATCTATTCTTTATTTGTTTCCTGATGACAACGTCATGAAATTCATGTGTCAGGGTTTCAAGCTCTGAATGTTTCAAGTGCTGGATTTTAGTGACAGGTGCGTTTTGGATAAGTTTAAGAAATATACGAGTTTCTGGATGAAAACTAGGCGCATCAAGTCATGGACTGCCATTGGTCGGCGACAAATGTACCAAATGCAACTACTTAACGGTGACATTGGGAGTTTGGGATACCTTTGCTTTTAGAGAAACTTCGTACCTAATTTTTGAAGTTATACTTCTTTAGGCGCGTTATGAAAAAATGATGAGAGTGAAATTTTAAGATGCGCGCGCATCACTGTTACTTTTGTGTTTACCGCACATTAAGAAAATCTACCAACAAAATAGAAATAGAATCTCTATTTAGTGGGTGCTAACGACTGCATTGTGAAGGCCTATCAAAAGTATTTATTAATCTGGAACAACGGAACCAAAGCGCGATTCAGGAGACTACAGCGCCATCTCTTGACCATTGGTGTAGTAGAACCAAAAACCACATCTTTATTTTTCAATGTTACTTTTATGTTATTATTGTAATAAAGTAACAGTTCTAGGTATTCATATTTATAATATTTATCCACATGTTTCTAGTTTGTATATTCGGAATACGTGTTTGAGTGTCATACAAGTGCAAATCACATATGTTCTAATAAATTATATTCAGTAGCGATTTTAATTGAATATTTTGATTATTTATTTATTTTTTCAAATTAAAACTGAACTTTATTGACTGTGTCCTTTTCCAGACTTTTTATTAATTTATTGTAATTAATTATTTGCATGCAATTAAAAACTAATTTTAAACGATGCCAAAGAAGGATAACTTCTCACGCGCCTACATAAGTACATGCACCCATTTTTTTTTTAATCCTTTACGATGTCTTTGTTGTAAGAGAAACTGCATTGTTACATATTTGTGAAAGTAAATAGTTAACGTTCACTGGTCTTATCCATCGACAGAACTACGTACCTACCATAATATTTGAGATTGAAGAAGGGTGTAAAGCATACCGTCAAACCTTACAAGATTGCCCAACTAATCTAACTGCCCAGCAAGGTACTTTTTACAAATATTAAAAAACCGGCAAAGTTTGAGATTTTTAGCACATAGAAATTCATTTTCTTGTTACTATCGTAATTCTATACAAAGAGTATTGCATTTATCAACGATATAGCACGATCACAAATTCAAAGTAGGTATTGTTATTGAAAAAATATTTCAAGTGGAATAATAAATCTGGGCAAAGTTGTACAGTTTTACGGTAGTCTTATAAATCACAGAACTAATGGTAAAAAAAAAACAATATTTCTGTCGACAGAACTATTCAACAAAACAGATGGGAACAGAGGGAAATAAGATATATATATTAAATGCGTATTGCGTTCAACTTTTTGACTTAAAACAGTATCGCATAAACGTCAAAAATGTGTTACAGGATATGATCTTGATGTGACATAGGAATGTTTCATAATATCTTTTAAAAACAATTTCAACTTGGCATCAACATCATATTGGCATTACATTAGGATTATATCACTAAAGCATAATTGACCCGCTCTGGCAACGTCGCGTCGCGCACCGCGCGCGTTTATATATACTTACTAGCAGACCCAGCGAACTTCGTACCGCAATAAAAAAATTGGGGTTGGTGGTAGAAGGATGAAAATTTAGGGTAGTATGTATTTACTAATGCTGTATCATAAAAAAATAAAAGTTTTTATCTAAAATTGAAAAAAAAAATTTGGGGTTGTATTACCCTTAACATTTAGGGGGATGAAAAATAAATGTTGTCCGATTCTCAGTCCTACCCAATATGCACACAAAATTTCATGAGAATCGGGAAAGCCGTTTTGGAGTTGTTTAACCACGAACACCGCGACACGAGAATTTTATAGAGATTATGACCGCTCACGAAACAGAAAAAAAACTGCATATAAAAACAAATGCATACAAATTGTACAAATCTACAATTACAAACAAAGCCCAGCCCCACACACTACGTTTCACTACCATTTTTTAGCTTGTGTCAATTAACTTACCGGTGGTACTTAAGTTACCTCGAAACTTTCGTTTCTTACCGAAACTTTATAGACAGAGTATAGTCGTTAAAATTCGCCAGGAGTTTAATATAAAAAAGACAAAAGCGTTTAAAATGCACATTTTTAAGTAAAATCATCATTTTTGAAAGTTACTCAAATTACCTAATTTTGTCACGAAACTTACCGGTAAGTTACCTCGAAACTTTCGTTTCTTACCGAAACTTTCTACTATACAAATGTTTATTTCTTATAATTTTTAGTACTTATGTGGAACCTAAGTTCATCGATTTCACTACATTAAATTAGAAGATGCTGCAGTAATTTAATTTGAAAAATTATTTTTGAGTCTATGTTTTTATAGGCTTATTCCACTAATCCCCGTTGAGAATCCCCGTCAACGGGGATTAGTGAACTTTTTGTTCATTAATCGCCGTAACGCCAATTAGAGCTTATTACGTTAAATAAATAAATCAATACTGAACCACCCTTCAGTACTGCTAAAATGATGACTGCTACAAACTGCGTGTGCAGAAGTCACTACAGAAGACTGGAGAAAAGTCGTAGAGAAAACAAAGAAATAATTTTTCAAGATTTTGAATGAGATGTGAGAAAAGACAATATTATTGAAAATGAATTAATAGTATCTGAGTGCTGACATCAGTGATGAAGATGACAATACTAATAACAGTTCTGATAGTCCAAATGAATAAATGCAATTTTTTTGTTAAATTATGTACTTGATTTACTTTGCTCCTTAAAACGAAAGAAAAAAAAATAACGGAACAGGTATTCGTCTGTTGATTTTTAAAAATCACATATGTTTCCAGTCCGTATCGATTGCATTGATGTTTTTAAGCTGGTCACCTCACTATGAAGATAAAACTGACGTCAAACGCTACCTAATAAAATGGCCTGTCTGTAGCTCTTCTCTTTTATACAACTTGTTAAAAAGGACTAGAATCCAGAGCCGTAAAACATATTCATAAAATAAGTATAGTAATAGATTAGTAAGTAACTCGTTCGTGAGCTACTACCTCTGAAAAAGGAATAATAAGGAACTGACACAAGCGTGTACTTCGCGTTATTGCTTATAAAAACAAATCGGGGAGCAAACATGGCGGACGTAAGATGTCTTTAGTCGATACTTTTTATCGATGTTATGTTTTATTTGCTGTGGTCAAAGCATATAGGGTTACATACATATACTGGAGAAAGGGGTTGAAGGGAGAGAAGAATCTATTTCGGAAACAATCGGAGATAATTTTATTCAACGTAAATTAAATTCTACCACTGTTATTAAATACAAGGACAGCAATAAGAAATGGCTTAGTAAATTTCACAAACTTTTCGTTATTCGTCTGCATGTACACATTATGATAATGGCTGGTGTTTATTAACTTTAATAAATCATTATTACAATATTAAGCTAAAAGTAACTTAAAATAAAATTCAAGTTTTAATTATACACATTTATTTCAGATGTTAAAATTAAAAAAAAAAACAATATTTATTTATGTATTCCGTTTAGGCTTTTACAAGCACATGAAAGTCGAAATCTACGCCTTGTATACTGAAAAGTATATACCGGCAAGAAACATAGGCTGCTTTTTTTCTCCGTCTTCTTTCATACAGTGTCGTTTAATTGAAAGCTGACATCAAAATTATACACATTTATTGAGATCAACTTCCATAACATAATGTAAAATAAGAAACAGTAAATATACAAAAACCATGAAATATCCAGTAAACAATTTTCAAAATAAATGAGCAAGTATATAAAAGACAAGATTCACTTCAATACTGCTTTTGAGGAGACAAGTTTAATATAACTTCAAAAATTTGCTAAAGGTAATAATAGGGAAGATGCAATATTTTTATTTTTGTTTTCCTTTTAAAGAATTCCATGTAGAATAAACCACAGATATATTAAAAAATTAAAACATTGTGATTTATCGGAAAAAATGCGGTTTTAAATTGACAATTTAAATTTTCGCGCGAAAACGAACCTATGGGTGACGTCACTCCTGTCTGTCACTGGTCGTACTTGTTCGTCGCTGGCTTTAAATTTTCATACCTTTGCATATTTTTTCGACTTTCGGAATATTTTTTTAAAAAATTTAAAATGGACTATTCATCAACATCATGTGATCATAACAATACCACTACCATATTCCGTGTTGACTAATATTTTGTCTAATCTACTTCAACAAAGTATCCAAATAAATTGTTTTTGACTGCAACTTCTGACCCAAAACTGAAAAAAAGTGGTTCCAAGCTGCAAAGAGAAATAATTATTCTCCAAAGACCATTATTCGATCCTGTGAAGATCACTTTGACGTAAGTCGACGAATATACTTGTTATATGCTTAATTAATCTGCTTGTACGTAAAAACGCATTAGTAACCTACCTAATACTTACAAAACCTGTCTATAACATATTTTTAATTTTATAGTTGGAGAATGACGTCGAAAATTAGATAAAGTTTAAAATGTGTGGCACAATCTTCACATTGTCAGGGCTGAACCAAGCTTTGCGTTTCATTTAAAATAACTGTAACACGATAACCTTCTTTACGTACTTTATGCTCCGGAGAACTCGACCTTTTACTGTACATAATTCTCCATCTCTTTTAATTTGGACATAGCCGATTGCATTATCGCCGTAAGATTTGTAGAAGCCGCTGAATAAAATACGAAGTTTAACAACTACGATTTTTACATACCGTAGTAATTTAGTCCCTTTCATTTCTACACTTAAAAACTTTGCACTTTGGACAAAAAAAGTTATAATAACTATGTCAACACTAACTCTTGGTAAATTCCTGGAGTCTGCTTTCATAAACGCAACTTCCATTTTTATTAAATGTAAAAAAAACTCAATTATTATTCCCATAAAATAATATTTACTTTAACAACCATAACCTCAAAGAAGTTGTCATAACAGGAGTGACGTCACTAAACGCTGATTGGTGTTTTAAAATACGTTCTGTTTCAAGTATTTTTAATTCGTAATAATTGTTAAAAAACAACATTATGTAAAATAAAAACGTTGCAGTGGCAATTCTTTTATATTTTTTAACATTTTAATCATAAAATTTTCATAAATATTATATATGCATCTTCCCTATTACGGCCAGGCGGTTTTATCGCTCGTGAGGTAGTTTTTGTGTGTATATTATAATAATAACCATGGCTAAACAGCTCACCATTTCTAGGTCGGTCTAAGTATATATACGGATGTATGAGATATATTTGAGCAGGATGGTTGACAGTCCTGAAACAAACAAAACAAAATATATTTGTTTCTAAGTTTTCACGCACACCACTCATTAAATGAAACAAGTTTTGAACGAGTATAAATGCGTTTTTAATACTTTTTCACTGTATTTTTGACGCTTCGCATCCTTTTCAGGATGTATGGAAAATGTAGTAAGATATTTCGTGTGCAGGACCAGTCCGCTAAGGAGCTAGCTGGTATCGCTGATTACAATTTTTGAAACCTATTTATTCTATTTATATTTTGGTAATTGCATGTGTAAATTTCATAATTTTGTAAACACTATAAAATATTAAAACTATATCTAGTGAATAAGCGGTTTTTTGAGACCCAGAAATCTATACTATGGTATGCTAAGTTTTATATTTTATAGTTTTTACAAAATTATTAACCCTTAATTTACCCGGTAGGTCCCTGGGACTCCATTGAAAACTTTCCGCGCTCATAAAATCGTTAGTTTTTGGAATTACAAATTGTGCGTTCCAATACCGTCACGGAGTGACGCTCCGAGTGCGGGGGAGAACAGACGTTGCCGTTCGCGGCTTCTATCGGTAAGTAATCACGCTAGTGGAGTCCGTGGGACTCCAGCCCCCGCTGGATGTTATAGTTTTAGTCTATGTACGGTATTTTCAACTGTGTTTTTTTTTTACTTTCAGTTGATATAATGGCGTCTCGTAGTTGTATAAACGTCCTTGATGAAGATGCGTGACTTCATATATAAACGACTTCATATATTTGCCATAGTTGTACTAAGCCTGTGTGCCTCAGCTGTACAAAAAGTATGCAATAACTGTGTCATCAACCGTGACTAGAAGGTCTTGCACGTTTTTTCTTTCTTGTTCAAACCATGTTCTTTTTTACTTTTTATAAGAATTGTTTATATTTTTGTTATATTTCTTTGAAGATTACTTTATAATATTGATTTGTTTTTGAAATGTGGACATTAGAAGATAGGTCTCATTATTTTGTTACAAAAAGTGCGATTATCTAAAAGTTCCTTAATAAAAGACTGTAATTGAATGATTTTAACTAAAAAGTTAAGATAATGTAAAACCTAAAAAAGGTATGGATAATGTAAAAAATACATAAAAAGCAAATTTAAATAGCATTTCATTTAAAAAAAAGGTTTATTTCCTATTACATTTACGATTTAAAACCCGGGAGTCCTGGGGACTCCACCGGGTAAAATGTGTATGTATGAAGTCACCGGGTAAACCAAGGGTTAAATATACACATGCAACAACCGAAATATAAATAGAATACTTTACTTACCATTTCAAGAATATTATGTGTATCCATTAGTACAGGTCTTGTGCTTAAGTTACTTAATTTGGCTATAGTGGATTAAAAAGAAAAAATGAAAAAAAATGAAAAAAAAAATGATGTGGTGTCATGGGACACCAGGTAGGAACGAAGTTCCTTCGGCTAATGTAGAATGGACACAAATTGCAAACTCGCTTGTGTATGTGACTGTCGCGCCTGCGCACGTCTCATTTAACGGTTTTATTCCACGCACTTTTTTCCACGGATATTTTCTTACGGTTTTACTATCACATTTTTTTCAGTTCGGTCGCGCAGCAAAATCCCTATCCCCTCCAAGCCAAACTCGCTTGTGTATGCGACTGTCGCGCCTGCGCACGTCTCATTTAACTGTTTTATTCCACGCACTTTTTTCCACGGATTTTTTCTTACGGTTTTACTATCACATCTTTTTGAGTTCGGTCGCGCAGCAAAATCCCTGTCCCCTCCAAGCCTACCGTAAGGAACTTCGTTCCAATAAACTACAATGTCACAATAATCCAGTAATGCAGCCCCGTCGCTCTGCCATCCCCCTGGACTTAACCACAGTTTAGTATAATATACGACAATAATCCAGTGTTGGTATAATGCCACAATAATTTGGGGTTGCACCCCCGTCGCTCTGTCACCTCCTGTTAAGTACTGACCTTGTTATCATGTCTAGCTTAAGTTTACAGCAGATGACACGCGTTCCTGGTCCACAGCTCGGTATAACGTCACAAATATCCAGATTTCGTGTAATGTCACAATATTCCAGTGCTGCACCCTCGTAGCTGTGCCACCCCCTACATACGCACCTTATTATCATGTCCCGCTAGCGTTCGTAAAGGATGCTAGGCAGGACTGGCCCACAGTTTAGAATAAACTACAATGTCACAATAATCCAGTGATGCACCCCCGTCGCTCTGCCACCTCCTGATAAGTCTCTCTCTGGTCGGTCCCTCATGACTGAGGATCGTGGTCAGCATGCTAGTTGCATCTGGAATGGATGATCTGCCTCCACCGGTTTCTGTCCAGCGCGTCTCTCACAACCGTATAAAATTTGGACGACGACGTTTCTTTTATTTGATCTGTCCATCTAGTTGGTGAACGACCGCGCGATCGTTTGCCTTCGGTGTTCCCAACAACAATCAATTTTTCCAAATTGCCGTCATCCCTGCGCATTGTGTGGCCGAAGTATGATAGGATGCGTTGTCGGCATACAGTGGACAAACGAGTATTTATACGGAGCTGACTCAAAATCGATGCATTGGTGCGTTTCGCGGTCCAAGAAATTCTCAGCATTCGCCTCCAGCACCACATCTCGAATGCATCAATCCTTTGTCTTTCTCGGGCTAAAATTGTCCACGATTCAACTCCATATAAGAAGATAGGAAATACCAAGGCTCGTATCAGTCTGATCTTGGTTTTGATACTGATTCCTCTTTTCTTCCAAATATTGTTTAGTCGGGACATAGCATCTTTAGCCATACCGATTCTACTTTTTATCTCGGGAACGCAGCTGCCATCATTGTTGATTTGGGAGCCCAAATATATGTAGTGGTCGACGTTATTAATGCCAGGAATGTTACTGTTGACATTTGTTAACTTTCCGGCTCTATCAACTATCATGATTTTGGTTTTTGCTCTATTCACTGTGAGACCGATGTTGCCACTCTCTAACTCGAGTCTTTGGAAAAACTCACACATATCTTCCATGGATGTTGCCAGAAGAATTGTGTCGTCAGCGTATCGGAGATTTGATAGTCTCTTTCCACCTATGGGAAAACCCTTCTCCCAGTTTTCTATAGTTTTTCGAATAATATACTCTCCATATATGTTGAAAAGGGCGGGAGACAATATGCAACCCTGTCTCACTCCTTTTTTAGTGTGGAACATATTAGAGCAGTCCATACCTATTCTGATGAACGACCGGTTTTGTGTATATAGATTCTGAATTAAGGCAACTAGGTGTTTAGGAGCTCCCATTTCAAGTAGCACATTCCACAGTTTATCCCATTTTACGCAGTGATAAGTACTCACCTTGTAATCATAATCATGTCTCACAGGCGTTACTGGTCCACAGCTTGATATACCTTCACAAATATCCAGTGTTCGTGTAATATCACAATATTTCAGTGATGCACCCTCGTCGCTCTACCACCCCCTATAACTTCACACATATTCAGTGTTGGTGTAATATAACAATATTTCAGTGATGCACCCTCGTCGCTCTACCACCCCCTATAACTTCACACATATTCAGTGTTGGTGTAATATCACAATATTTCAGTGATGCACCGTTGTCGCTCTACCACCCCCTATAACTTCACACATATTCACTGTTGGTGTAGTATCACAATATTTCAGTGATGCACCCTCGTCGCTCTACCACTCCCTATAACTTCACACATATTCAGTGTTGGTGTAATATCACAATATTTCAGTGATGCGCCCTCGTTGCTCTACCACCCCCTATAACTTCACACACATTCAGTGTTGGTGTAATATCACAATATTTCAGTGATGCACCCTTGTCGCTCTACCACCCCCTATAACTTCACACATATTCACTGTTGGTGTAGTATCACAATATTTCAGTGATGCACCCTCGTCGCTCTACCACTCCCTATAACTTCACACATATTCAGTGTTGGTGTAGTATCACAATATTTCAGTGATGCACCCTCGTCGCTCTACCACTCCCTATAACTTCACACATATTCAGTGTTGGTGTAATATCACAATATTTCAGTGATGCACCCTCGTCGCTCTCTCTCCTGCCGTAAGGAACTTCGTCGCGCCTGCGCACGTCTCATTTAACGGTTTTATTCCACGCATTTTTTCTTACGGTTTTACTATCACATTTTTTTCAGTTCGGTCGCGCAGCAAAATCCCTATCCCCTAGGAACTTTCGTTCCAAAAAATAGATAAGGAAGTTTTTATTATCATAATTTTCATTCGGAATATCTTAGAGTAACAAATTTGTAATGGCTTTTCTATTAGATTTTAGTTAAGGAAAGTTAAAGTTTAGTTAGTAATGTTAGTATATTGTTTTTCATAAATTGAATTACATAATTCGTAGGGCTAATACACTGTTGTGAGTTATTAATACCGTTCGAGGCAAACTGGAAATAAAATATCGATAAGACCACGATCGATGAGGGGCTACAACACTAGCGCTGCTAGATTACTATTGTAAACTATACTTCGACTTTTTATTAGCTGCAGTAAAATGACGTTTCAAAATGTCATTCCGTAAAATAATGTTGAAAGCCTAATTTCAATAGGGATGTGCTTTGGTACACAGAAAATCTAATCGTTCCATAAGTAACTCATAATGATCATACTTACTTCTATTTATTATTCATATAAATAAAAGGCTGTATAAAATCTCAAGTTGGTACTGGTTTTTAGTTACGGTACTACGATGACGCTTGTCCGCCATTTTATTTTATTTGTCATTCGCTCATTCGGCTTCTAACTTCTTTTTTAAGTGCACGAATAACTTTGCTTTGCCCACTGCGAGTTGTTTTAGTTATCTTTCTCAAAAGAGACATTGAGAAAAATTATGAAGCATCTTAATTTCAAATTCGCTACTCGATCACGCAAGAGCGTACTTATTGATAGACAAGATATCATATCATGGCGCCAGCGCTACCTGCGTTTAATTAAACAATATCGTAGGGAGGGAAAATACATATAATATTATCAAGGCGAGACCTGGGTCAACGCTGGTAAGTGGCAACTCTTAGTTATCTATGTTTGATCCCCTTTTATTTAGCTATCGAAACGATTATTCTACTTAAAACTACATGTTTAATGTCTTGTATGCCCTGTAAGGTGTATGTCAATAAAGAATATTATTATTATTTTGATATTTTTTTGTTCTTTTCAGGTCATACTACAAAAAAAACCTGGAGTGATGGAAGTATAAAATCTTCTCGGCAGGCATTTTTAGACGGTCTAACTACGGGATTAAAAAATCAACCCACAGGAAAGGGCAAACGACTCATAATCAGTCACATTGGCGGAGAAGAAGGCTTCCTGGACGACGGACTTCTTATGTTTGAAGCAAAGAAAGCTACAGAAGATTACCATGATGAAATGAACGCAGAGTGTTTGGAGGAGTGGTTCGACGGCCACTGCCGAATTTAGGGGAGGGCAACCGGGGCGAAAGCCCCGGGGCCTCCACAAACGGGGGGCCCCCCACAATAGAGACTTTCTGAAAAAAAAATCTTTCAAATTCCAACTAGTAAACATCTTTTCTAGGGCCGAATTTAAGGCAAGGCAGGTGGGGCTGTGGCCCAGGGGCCTCCACAAAGCTTAAGAAATAACGACATTTCGATGGGTCAACAAGCATGCAAATCCTAAGTGGCCCGGGCCCTCCACAACAGGATAGAAGATAACGAAATTTCGATGGGTTAAAAAGCATACAAATCCTAAGTGGCCCGGGGCCTCCACAATCCTAAATCCGGCCCTGTCGACGGCATTCTACCCAAACTCAAGCCGAATGCAGTAGTCATAATAGACAACGCGCCCTATCATTCTAGGAAGATCGAAACAATCCCAAAGATGTCGTGGACGAAAGCACGAATTCAAGAGTGGCTGACCACTAAAAATATTACATTTGAACCAAATATGGTGAAGGCCACTCTCATAGATATTGTGAAACAACAAAATCATACTGACAAATATGCCGTGGACAAGATTGCTGGAAAAGGTATCAGACTTTTAAGACTGCCCCCTTATCACTGTGAATTGAACCCCGTCGAGTTGTCTTGGGCTCAGGTAAAGGGGCACGTCGCAAACAATAATAAAACACATAAAATGCAAGAAGTGAAAACTTTATTCCAAGAAGGAATCAACAAAGTGACAGCAGCTAAGTGGAGTGACTGTGTGACTCACACTATAAAGGAGGAAGACAAAATGTGCCACCTCGATCATATTATAGATGAAGTGACAGACAGATTTGTCATCAGTGTGACCGAAAGCGATAGTGATTCCGAAATTGATTGATTAATAAATAACATTGTCATGACAATTTTGTTTAATTTTGGATGTACGTCCTTATACTTCCACTGAAAAAGATCAATCCTTTACTAAAATAATAATAATAGAATAAAAAATCATTACAACTTAATATTAAATCTCTTAAACGAAACCAAACTGATCACTCATTTATTGAATGATTCACTTACTCACTTAGCTACATCCCTATTTATTTTTCTTCAAAAAGCGGTAACCCACAAAACGTCATTTTACTGCAGCTAATAAAAAGGTCTACATTACATGAAATTCGTTGAAAAATAAACCAAAGGCTACAGGAACCAACAGGCTTTGGTTCCTGTAGCCTTTGGTTTCTTAAGCTGTGTTTTTAATATAGTTTAATGATCAACTTCTTGTAAAAATAGCAATTTCTAGTTAAATTAGTTACTTACCGGTAAAAACTTAGGTTAGGTCTATTTTTGCTTTGACACAGGGTACAATCAATTACAAAACACTTCACATTTATGTTTAAATCCTTAATTTAATTATTTTCTCGCTTTTAAATTCCTTCAATAAGAATCACGTCGACAACTTTGAGTTTATTTTTAAACAAACTAGGGAACCACAGACCACTTATGGGGAGGTAAAATGGCGACACGAGCACAACTGTTTATTAGATATAGACATATAGATAGATATATTGTCACTACTGTAGCGGATATTGCGAAATAGAGTGCTGGTATCTTTTTCATATGCATCAATAGGAATGTAAAAATTAGACAACACTATTTTTGTAAATTTTTATACCAAATTACAATGTTATACGTACGTATATATTTTCGTGTCCACGGTTCCCAACTTAGGGGTTTTGCCCCCAGATTTAGGAGCTAGAAGTGTTAAAACGGACTTTTTAAGGGGCCGGATTTTTTTTGGGGTTCTTTTAGGGCCATAAGAACACTTGCAATTAAATCGAAAATCAAAGCGTGTGTTTTCATTCAGTTTTGTGCATAGTATGGAACGCACCACGATATGAAACACCTGAACCGACTGTGTGGCGGGTTGTTTCCTAAGGCTGTATGGACTAAAGTTCTTTGCCTGTCACCAATGAATAAAATAATAAAACAACAATATAACAATCATGTTTGTTCTTTCATTCGTTCACATCATATTTACGGCTCACTGTTCATTTTTGTCTACAGTTTAGAACGAACTTTTTCCCCAAATTTGTCGGAGTTGCATATGCAAGCCAACCAAGATAATAGTTTAATTACGAAGTTTCTATGGCCACCTTCTAGCTCCATCATCAGACCCGAGATCCCATCATCAGAACAGAGAGTTATCATATAGTATCAAAGTACTCGCAAAAACGAATTAAACGAGCCCAAACTCGATGGGGTTGCGTCGTTTAATTACGGAGTTCCTATGGCCACTTTCCAGCTCCATCATTAGATCAGCTCTATATCATAATAATATTGCATTGTCATCCGATTAATACATGCATGTCAGCTCAATCAGACCGGGAAGTGGATCAGATTCAAAAAAAAAATCAGGTGAAACTAATAAAAGCTTGTTAATTAACTGACACACTATTAAATCACATGTCTACTGCTGTGTTTGTTTGTTGAAAAACCTAATGATTTTATTCCACCAATCAAAACAACTAAATAATATTTAACTGCCTGTCAGCTCATTTTCGTTTCATTTTTCTTTCGGAAACTGTATGTATTCAATAAAATAATTTACTGTAACTAAATATGTAACTTTTTAATTTATGAGCAACGAAAGAATTTAGTTAATAAGTAGGTACATATAAAATTCTATATTTGGGGGATTTAAGGGGAATTTAAAAAATACTTAGGGGAAAATTTTGGTAAGGGTTGGTTACACTGTTCGTGTCTTTTTCAAAGTAGGGATGTCGAAAGTTGAAAAAAATATCGATACATCGGTATTTTAAAAAATATCAATATCGGCTTCGATATATCGCGAAAAAAACATCGATATATCCGACCACATTTTCCAAAAATATATTTAGGTCAGCCTAGCACAGTAATAATATTTCAATACAAATTATAATTAAAGAAAGAATTATCAAAGTAGCAAATTGCCGCTATACTACATGACAGTACAGTCTCTCACGAAATATGACACGCGGAATAATAATGGAACGAAAATTATCTCCCTAAAAATAGACCCTATTTTCGAATGATGAAAATGATTGCAGGGCTTCTCAGGTGCCATCTTTCGTAAACAAGACTAGACAGTCACACACTTCCACAGAATATAATGGAAATCAGCACAACCAATTCCCCAGCGAAACAGATTTACAAATAATAGACAATGGTGCCAATTCTAGCGTGATTCTCTAAACTTAAAACTAAATTTAACACCAGTCTCTCCTTTTCATTCTGTATAGAGAATGACAAGGATATACTGCTGTCAAATTTAAGTTTAGGTTTAGAGAATCATGCTAGAATCGACACCAATACTAAATACAGCACAGATCATAGATATGTTGAATATCATTAATCTGACATCCAGTTACGATTTTTCCAGATACGAATTTAGTTAGACCGTGATATGCCGCTAATAATTAAAAAACTATAGTTTTTGATATGATTTTCGATATTGGTTATTTTGTATCGATGTATCGATACTTCGAATCAAAATAAATCGGCAAAAAATATCGATATATCGACCAAAAAATATCGATATGTTGATATATTTTCAACAAGCCTATTTCAAAGGCTACTGACTACTCTACAATTAATTACAATCAACATCAACCAACAAATCAATTTTTTGGGTCGTGTCGTGTTATCGTGTAGTCTTCTTGTGATAACAGAAACAGACACATTTTGTCGTTAAAAGGAGTGAAGAGTTTTCTAAAAAAATCTTAATTTGATATACACTTCCGAAATCTCGGTGATCTGATTTTTCCTTTAGATTTTATTAATTTAAATAACCTATCAATATGATTAGCGGTCGTGCGTTACACTTCGTATTTAAAGTTGCTGATAGAACACTTACAGCTAAATTCTACAGAGATGTTTTGGGAATGCAGGTAAGATAATCTTAGCACAATTAATTTTGCAAGGTTTTAGAAAACCTCGAAGTTGGCCAAGGTTATAGACTTGAGGAAAAGTGTTAACCGGTAAATTGGCGTTAATAATTTCATATGTATTGTACATAAATCTCAGCAAAGTTGTAGTTAGGAAGATAAGTAGTCCATATAGTAGTACTTTTGTATAACATAGGTAGTTTAAAGAAAATTTGTATTTTATGTGAAGCAAAATCCAAACTCACTTTGGGTTGTCTATATATTGAAATTTCTAACTATTAGCCAATGATTTTTCATGAATTTACCTGAAATTACAAAGAAATTTGGTGACTCTTTTCTTTGTCGCACTGTCCTGGAATACTTTAAAAAAGGTGTGAAGAAGCAACATGTAGGCCGGCAAGGTGAGGATGGCTGGTGTGGCAGGTAAAACTGCTGTACCAGCTATCTTCACGTCTCGACTTAACCGTCACTTAACATCAGGTGGGGTGGAGCCATTTGTCAGACCTATATAAAAAAAAACTACTTGTAAATTACTGAAACATTTAGAATTAAGAAAAACATCATAAAAAATTATTGATAAACTTTTAAATTTATCTTTATAATTAATAAGATTACATCTTGAAATAGAAAAATTAGGTCATGATGTCACGTTACAATGTTCCCTTTTTTCCTTCCAAAATGCAAGCAAAGTAATTAGTCTAGATAAAACCTTGTTAAGCCAAACTTAATAAAAAAAATGCATGGATTAGCGAAAACAATCTATGGTAAAGGAGAATGAATGAGGGGCGACCTAAACAGAGGCCTTCTTCCTCTTCAACCAAACAAAACTCATGGATGTTTAACATGTTACACAGAGCATAAATTTTTGTATGATAATTTATTTGCATTACTGGTTTATTGAATTTATTAAGTATCACTTTATTCAGGCACATCATTGAGGTTCAATTTTCTCAAAAACCTAAATGTACCTAGTAAATGTTACTGGGAAGATTTTTCCTAATAGCTTACAAAAAATATTTAGTTGTCTATTTAAAGAAGATCTAAAGGATATTTTATTCATATTGTTTATTTAATTTTATATTTGCTATTGATATTTGTATAGGGTAAAAAATATGTGAAGTGAGTAATGGAAACAAAAAGTCATATTGACAGCGGAAAGGGAAAATCGCTTATATGCCAGTTTGGTTAAAAATGTTATATTTGAATCAGTTTATTTTTTCAGTGTTGATAAAAACCTATCCTTTGTGGAGATATAACTACCTTTTTGATGCCTAAGCTAATTTTTTTTTAAACATTTTAATTCTCTACAACGCTGAAGCTACATGAATTTTGGTTCTTTTTGAACCAACGGCGTTTATGTCCTACTATTTGGCATGTGATTTGGTGTTTGCTTGACAAAAACTGTATGGTGGGCTGAGTGATTTTCACTTAATTCGTAAAGTAAAGAGACTAAGTATGTAACTTTTTAGTAAGAGAATATTTAGAAAATATTATTTTATGAATGTTTAATTTTTGACGTGACAACGTCTTAAATTTGGTTGCGGCTGGGAGTCACTTATGAAAAAGTGTAACGCTCGGTAACGTTACGATGAGTCTCTCGTGTTAAGTTTAAGTTTACATGTACAATGTTTTAGTAAACAAAATATATTTCTATAGTTAAAATTTGTGCAATTCTTATTTTCATTCAATTCCTTGTTCCTATTGTGCAATTTAATTATATTCATATCAATAAATATTCTACCGAGAAAAAGACGTTGTCACGTAAAATCGTCATCCGTAAAACCGACTTTACAGGCAACCATTTTTTTCTGTAAAGTTACTAAAGTGGCGTTTCAGCAATTTTGCATTTCCACTGTCAATATTATTGGTGAATGGCTATTACTTCTATTTCATAGGTATCAAAGACATAATTTATGTAAGGATTTGAACCAATTGTCTCTGGTTTGTCTGGTCATTTAAGGAGTAGAAAACTGACTTGTTCATTCAATTATGTTAATGAAAACATAAAAAAATTAAAAAGCAGACAGATGAATCTGTTCAAATTTTTTACACTGAGCAACCCAGATTCCCACCTTTCTTTTTCAAAAGTGTTTTTCAAAGGCGAATTTGACTTTTGATTGAGGAATGCTTTTAGAAATCTTTTCAAAAGAAAAGCTAATGAGATCCTCATTACAGGTTCTTCGGCATGAGGAGTTTAGTGAAGGCTGTGAGGCAGCTTGTAATGGGTAAGTGTTATTATACCCTGTGTTGTTTGTCCCTGCTGCTGAGGCAGGAGGCTCCTCTATGAATGGAATAAAGAGAATGAAAATTCACCACACGGTGCCTCGCGCGAATTGGTAGATGGTAACGATTGCAGATGCAGTTGGGCCCAATGGCTTAATATGTCTGGAAGTGGGCAGGTACTAGTGGTAATACATTATTGTCATTGCCACAGGTAGCTCATTGAATACTGCTCGAGAGAGCCACAGCAAGCCATTTTCACCTCTTTAGTAAAAGTAAACTAAAGGGGTGATAATAAAAGGAGTTGTAGGTTGAACGATCTTTATAAAATAAAGTCTAAACCTTACAACAAATAAAAAACGGTAAAAGTTAGTCATACAAAAAAAACAAACCCTAAATGGAGATAGGGTCAGTTCGCCTGTTCGCGTCCATCGCCTAATACGCGTCCATTTTACGGATCTCCCTTAAAAAATCCTCAAAAATAAGTAAACTAATACACCAATCAAACGGAAAGTAATTACCGCTAATACCTTAATATATAAGAGGCACGAACACATGGTCAAAAGGTACGTGCTCCAAACAATCCCGTTTAAAAAAAAAATAATCTCGGTTATTCATCAAGGGAGTGCGTACACACGGGATGTTTAGATAAAAAATAGTGTGCAGAGGCGCATTCGATGGTAAGTTATTTATTTTTTTATGTTAATTTTAGGATACATAACTGTTTCTAGACTTTTATAGTGAAGAAAGGAATGATATTAATTATAAATTACAAAACATCCAATTTTCGTCCGCAATGGACGCAAACTATACCTACAGGGGATAATAATAAACCAAATTGCGTCCACTATTTTCGTTAAATACATTTAATTAATTATAATTTAAAATATAGGTATTGATAATTATTATTATACATTTTTATTAAGACTACGTGTTTTTAATGCTATTTTTAAATGAAATGAGTAATTTCAATCAATCAAGCAAATACTTTATTTGTTTCATTCTTATTTTTTTCTATTTGAGATGAGTTCTTCAGAGGAGACAAGAAAGTAGAAGGAAAAGAGAATATACACAGAAGACGATTTAAATAAAGCGTTAAATGAAATTCGAGAAAAGAATAAATCGGTAAGACACATAGACATATTGTACAAAATCAGTGGGCGCAGACCAAATGAAGTAAAGAAACCGGGACCAGACACCACCTGATGCCTCTCGAAATTTCTAACAAAGCACAAAAAGATAATCAAAGAACTCTAGCAACCATATATTCTGCTGCATGGAGTAAGTATTAAGAAGATAAAGAGCAGATCAAGAACGAAAAGCAGGAAGCAATACGAAAAAGAAAGTTAGAACGAATAGAAAAACAAGAACAGAGTTTAAAACACTCTCAAACGGTTCGTAAAACTGCTCCAAAACGAAAGAAGAAGATACATACCCTTCAAGAAGTCACACAGAAAATGGTAAATCAGGAATTTAAGAAAGAAAATTTTCTGAATGTGACGATGTACTAATTTCAGATGTAGAAGACGACGATGAGAAAAACATACCTTGTGATTTTAGGGTAAAATTAACAGAACTGATTACTGTTTACTTTAAAGATGCAATCATTATGTACCTACTACTTATATAATTTTAAATTCAATCGATATTGTGAAGAATATTTTTCATTTTTTTAAAGTGATAATTTTAATGATAAAAAGTTGGTTTTAATATTTATATTCTAAAATAAAGAAATTGTTAAAATAGGTACAATCTTTCTACAAATTCTTAAAAATATCACCCCTATATTCCTTTTCTAAGGTGGTGGACGCTAAATGGTCCACGGGTGGACGCAATTTTTATTTTGTGGACGCAATGTGGGTAAAACGCCTTATTCCGAAGTTTATCTATTTAAATAAAAAACAATAGATGTTTCGAACAAAACTGAAAGTTAATCTTAAAATAGACTATATAATGAACACATTACATATTTTTTTCATAGAAATTAGTGCTGGGATATTTTTACTATCGCCGTCAAACTTTCCAACTGCACTAAATGGACGCGAACAGGCGAACTGAGCCTACCACGGTTCATACACATAATAAACTAGTTAAAAGGCAGGAGGCACCGACCTCGTGTGTTCCTCTTTTAGTCCAGTCGGAATAGCCATAATTTGGACCGACTTCTATTCTAAGACACCAGCGCTTAGCCAATTTTTTCCTAGATAGTATAGACCCCCACGAATATGCCCTCCATTTGTCCCCGCTAGAACCCGTGTTTTGTAGCCAGGAAAATTGTTTAAACAAAGAAAAACCGGTTTTTTTGAGATTTTTTCTTGTAAACGGGGATTTTGAAATTTTTTTTGAATCAAAGTTGTTCATTAGCTTGCCCTCTACAAAATCAGTTCTATGAAAAAATAACGTGAGATTGTTAGTTTAGCAGTAAATTGCAATTATGTCGGTTTTACGTTTGCAACAATTCAACATGTTATAATAAACATTTTGATTTCTAAAGTAGTTTATCATGTGGGTAACGCCACTCCCAAGAGTGTCATGTAAAATTTATCGACCTGTGTCGCAAACTTTAGCAACAATTCTCAATCTCCGAAAAAAAAGTACTTGCCTGTCCCGTCTTTCCCAGAAGGCGCACAGCGGGAAAAAAAATTCAGGTGATTCGATTCACCAAGAATTTTGAGGAATCGATCGAGTAGAAAAAAATCGTTAGTAAAAATGTTCGTTTTTGGACGATTTAATTTTTTTTTTTAAATTGACGTAGAATAATTTTTTTATTAAACTAATGTATTTTTCTCTCCTCAACTCGAATATACTATTCTGAATATATATATATATATATATATATATATATATATAATATATATATATATATAATATACCCTGAGAATTCCGATTATGAACCGGAAGAAAAAAGGACGAAATTAATTTAATTAGAAATATAGAATACAACGCAGTCTTCTAAATTTTCAATCGTATATTCGAGTTGAGGAGAGAAAAATACATTAGGTTAAAAAAAAATATATTCTACGTCAATTTTTTAAAAAAAATTAAATCGTCCAAAAACGAACATTTTTATTAACGATTTTTTTCTACTCGATCGATTCCTCAAAATTCTTGGTGAATCGAATCACCTGAATTTTTTTCCCCGCTGTGCGCCTTCTGGGAAAGACGGGACAGGCAAGTACTTTTTTTTCGGAGATTGAGAATTGTTGCTAAAGTTTGCGACACAGGTCGATAAATTTTACATGACTCTCTTGGGAGTGGCGTTACCCACATGATAAACTACACACATCAAAAGTGTCTAGGGATCAACATATATTTTTGCAATAACTTTTCTCCTGATTGATATTAATTAAAATTTTCTTTAAGGATTCATCAAATAAAGTGTTTTCGTTTGTCACAGTAACGATAAACCAAGTCACCTTTGCATTAATAAAGAAATTTGCCATTTTCCTAATAAAGGGATTTTTGACATTTGAACCACTAACACAAAAGTTCGAAAAAAAGACTGAAATAACAGTTTTCTCTAAAATTTTATTGGGTAACTTAAACAATTAATAATCCGTATTTCTACCGCGAACACTAACAACACAAGAACATCGGTTTGGCATACTCAAAATGAGTTCATCCAAATCACGCTGTGGAATGGCCGCCCATGTTCGTTGCAATAACAAAAAAAGGTCTTCTTGCGACTGGATACCCTCCATATTCGGCAGAGCTCTTCTCTGTAGCATATCCCATGCATGCTCAATCGGGTTCAAGTCTGGCGACTGAGCAGGCCAGGGCAGGACATTGATGTTAGCTGCGGCGAGAGTCTGTCTTACAACTCTTGCGGTGTGCGGTCGTGCATTATCATGCATTAACTGAAATAAGGGACCGATTTGCACTTGTAGAGGAACGATGACGTCTGATACAATCGTCTCAGCATAAAATTGAGCGTTGAGGTTGCCTCTGATCCAAATCAACTCAGTTCTTCCGCCGATCCAAATACCCGCCCATACCATGATGGTTCCACCACTATAAGGATGGACTTCCTGGCAGGATTTTAATCGCTGTTGGCGTCCAGGGGTTCTCCAGTGTCGTATACGTCTTGTATCCGGTCTCATACCAAAACGAGACTCATCAGAAAAGCACACGAAACGCCATTGTTCTTCTGCCCAATTTCTGTGTTCAAGAGCCCATTGATATCGAATCCTACGATTGTGCATTGCTATAGGTGGTACCCGTAGCGGTCTTCGGGAATGAAGGTTCACTTCATGCAAGCGGTTTCTGACTGTTTGGTCGCTAATTAAGTTCCCTGAAGAGTGATGAAGCCTCACGGCTAACATCATGGCGGTTATTGTTGGAGCTCTTCGAGTTAAGATTTGAATGTATCGGTCTTGTCTCCGTGTGGTGCAGCGATACCGTCCTCCATGGCGCTCAGCCACGGTACCAGTGCTTCGGTATCGTGTCAAAAGTCGACTGATAACACTCTGACTTGTATTCAGAGCTAAAGCCACAGTACGTTGCCGGGAACCAGCTTCTATCATTCCCACGGCTCTGAGCATTTCTTCCCTGCTTAAATGACGTCGCCGCTCCATAATAACGTTGGTTTTAATCAGTAGTAGGGAAACAGTAGCACTAATAATGTCTTCAATGCGTTGTATGTTTTTATAGGGAAAATATTGACAGCTGATTTTCATCTTTTACTCGAATTTGATTCACAGTTCCTGATTCAAATTATGAAATGCACCAAAAAGGATCCATATAAATTTATAAAATCATAAATTTATTACAAAGCCACATCTCAATCTCAAGAAATCCGCATAAAAATGCTTGATCCCTAGACACTTTTGATGTGTGTACTTTAGAAATCAAAATGTTTATTATAACATGTTGAATTGTTGCAAACGTAAAACCGACATAATTGCAATTTACTGCTAAACTAACAATCTCACGTTATTTTTTCATAGAACTGATTTTGTAGAGGGCAAGCTAATGAACAACTTTGATTCAAAAAAAATTTCAAAATCCTCGTTTACGAGCAAAAAAACTCAAAAAAACCGGTATTTTTTTGTTTAAACAATTTTCCTGGCTACAAAACACGGGTTCTAGCGGGGACAAATGGAGGGCATATTCGTGGGGGTCTATACTATCTAGGAAAAAATTGGCTAAGCGCTGGTGTCTTAGAATAGGTCTCATGTTTATTCCGACTGGACTATTTGGCACCGAATACTTGGGAGCATATTTAGTGCCCCTCACAGATCGTCAGGTGTAAATAAGTGGTAGTCGGCTACCAGCCGGTGCAGGTGACGTGGCCGTGGTAGACCTCGTCCTAGTGGTGCCAATTCCTAGCCAATAAACAATATGATGAATTTATAATTTCCCGACACTGAAACAAAAGCGTGGAGGAATAATAACTTAAAGGTGCGGGTTCGAGTCCCGTCTGCTACCTGGTCCATGTGGAATTTTTTCTAGTTATATTTTCTTTAGATTTAAACTTGAAGGTACTTTGGAAAACCTATCTCGCGTGACTTAGGTGAGGATGCATAACAGGTTCTCCTGTCATTGACAGACTTCATTATGTGATTCCGAGTTCATAAGTATGATCACATTTGTAGTAAACACTACATGACTTTATATTACGGCCGTAGGGGCCGTCCATTAATCACGTGATTTTTTTTTTGGCATTTTTTAACCTCCTTGATACGTGGTGAGGTTAAAGACATCCCCTCTTAGTTTAGTACCTACAAAGAATCTTTTTTTATATATTTATAAAATACAGGTATAAGTAGGTTATACTACATGATGATGAATAATAATAAAATAAAAATAAATAATCATCATGATGATGATGAATCATAACGTTTAGATAGGTTGCAGGTTGTTTTTGGCTGACATAAATATAATGAAAGAACATGAACATTATTTCATGTACAGTATCCTCGGACCACGGAAATACACGTGATTTATTACCTACTACACCCCCCCTTCCCCGTTGTGATATTTCGTGATTTTTATGGACCCCTCCCCCCCTTTCGAGCCTCCCGTGATTACTGGACAACCCCTTAAAAGATTGTTCACTTTTTGTTGGCACTCAATAGGTTGGTGTTGATTTTTCAGGCCATATGCCAATAGATGGAGCAAGACTATGATTGGTTACGGTCCAGAGGATACTCATTTCGTCGTAGAGCTCACATACAACTATGGCATCACACACTACGAGCAAGGAAACGATTTCCGTGGTCTAACTATCCAGTCTGCTGAAAGCTTAAAGAGAGCTGCTGCCAACAATTGGCCAGTGAAAGAAAACAATGGTGTAAAGTACGTGGAGGCTCCTGGCGGGTACAAATTCTTTATCATTGACAAGCCACAGCCCGTAGATAAAGGTAATCACACAGACTACCATATCTAATGTAATCACAGATAATCTAGTGATCGTGACAGATAAGCAATTTTTGATCGGCAAGACTTAGATCTTGAACATAGAAAACAAGCTCGAAATGTACTCATAAATAATGAATACATTCTGAGCTTGTTTTCTATGAGTCATAATGTACTAATATAAGTCTGTAGTTTTATGACTAAATCTAATTGAATCTTTAATTAGCGCAACACGTAAAATTTTGTGGAGTCAATTTTAAGTATCTCCGTTAGTTTAAAAAGGCTGATACTCTTAAGAGATTGTGTTATTCTATTCTGCTGTCTAAATAATTGAATTAATAACATGAAAAACAAGGTTACCTATGAATAAAAAAAACATCTTATTTGTAGGTTTTTCCCCACCTCATCCGAATTGAACTTCAATATATTCACTGGGTGCTACAATACGATACTATTCCATAGGTTTGGGACTTGAATCCCAGAAAAAGAAGAATCGGCAAAATTGCGGCAGTGTTTTTGTTTAGTAGTATCTTTGTCCAATTGCATAACTAAATATATTTCGGAGTCTAACACAATATCAAAGCTTCATTCATTCTATGTTGATCGCTTTGTGTAATCAACGCAAATAATAAAGACAGGACAGGACAGGAGATTTAGAGGTGTGGAGGCCCTCGGGCCACGGAAGAGTGGGGGCCCCTATTTTATCTTACGATCCCACTTACGATTTCACTTCGCCGTATTCCCGGTTGGTGACCGGTCGAGTTTTTAGAATTCCGTACCTCAAAAGGAAAAAACGGAACCCTAATAGGATCACTTTGTTGTCCGTCCGTCTGTCAAGACCGTTTTTCTCAGGAACGCGTGGAGGTATCAAATTGAAATTCATATATAATACTCAGGTCTACTGTCCCTTGGAGCTGTGAAAAAATCAAACTTCTAAGCAATCAAAAGAAACAGCCGTTTATGCCACAAATTTTCGAAACTCGCATGGGAATCAAAACCTACAGGGTACCTACTTCCCGTGAACTTAGAATCTTGAAATTTGGCACGAAGTAACGTCTTATGGTACAGATAAAGGAAAAATTGCGAAAACCGTAAATTTTTAGTTACATCGTATAATAAAAAATATTTTTTAATAATTATTAAAATTTACCTACAGGTTTGTAAGGAACCCTTGGTTCGCGAGTCCGAGTCGCACTAGGCCGTTTTTTTTTATCTTTGTTGTAGGGCCACAGCCCTGCCTGCCTTAAATCCCCGCACCGTATAAAGATTACCAAAAGCAACTATTGACAATCAAGATACCAAACTGATTCTTGATTTTTTTATCAAAGCAATAATCCTATTAATTAGGCCAAATCAAATTTTATTGTTATTGTGAAATAGTTATGACACATTCTTGAAATTATCATTCATGACTTTGTATAATTAACATGACTACAATATATCAGTTCAATCGATAAGAATCTTAGAATTTAGAAAACATAATTAAATGAAAGAAATATCCGCTATCTGAAAATAAATTTGCCCATTGTTTGCTTAAATTTGATTCTTACGTCATATCACAAAGTATAAAAAGAGACTAGATATTTCGGTGATAAAGGTATTTAACAAATAAAATGGTAATTTAATATTTATAATCCAATCGTTACAAGGAGTTGGTAAGAATTCTTTAGGCTGGAAACAGTGCTCGACCGACGGTACGTCCTGACCGTCAGCGCTGACCTTCGGTTGCGAAAATGCATTTCAGTGCTACGCTGACGTCGAACGGCGACGCGTGTGTACAGTTCACGAGAAAAATGAACCCTTTTGCTGTAATATATGCACGCTATTTTTTGCGCAATTCATTCTTTACAAAGTTCTTGCCAAGGACTTATTTTAGCATCAGATCGATGATTAAATCTAAAGAAAATAGTACTAGAAAAAAAATCTACGGGGCGACACGTCCCGTCTCCTGCCTGGACCGCGTGGATTTTATTCTTGAAATATTCTTTAGAACAATTAAATACATTACAATCCGTTTATTATGACTTCGAAGGGAATCGACAAACACGTCATACTAAGCGCACGTCATACAAAGCATTATTGTGAAAAAAGTCCATTTTCTAATCAGCATATTATTGTAACTTTTTCCTCAGTAGTAAAAAATGCTTTACGACGTTGAGATGTAATTTTTTTGCATTAATTTTAAATTACCTTCTGAGATTCCAAACAAAAACGAGCCACGTGCCGAACGTTGTCGGGAATCAACGAACATTACCGTAGGTGTAAAGAACCATGTCGGTCACTATAAACGGACAAAAACAAAAAAATGGGTCATAATAAGCGATATGTCACTGTAAGCGAAGTCATTATATCCGACATTGTTACAATGAATTTTATATGAAAACCAAACTTCGTTGTGTAATTACGTCATAATAGGCGGTTGGTCAATACAGGCGGAGTCATAATAAACGGATTCTACTGTAGAAAGAAATTCAGAAAAGAAGTTATTATTCAAATTATAAAGAAAGAGAAGTAGTTCTGTTTAGAACTTTTTATTGAAACATGTCGAAAGAATTACGTTTCGGAAATCTCGAAACTTCGTCAACGTCCGCTGCGCAAGGAGCTGACCTCGCGGCGCGGTTCCATACCTATGTCGTATTATCTCTAACCATTCTTTGAGTCTTTTGTTTTAAACAAGTAATTGAAGTGGTAACGTAACAAATAAATAGGTACAATAAATCTATCCGCGCTCCGAGATATAAATCACGTTACTTATGAGTGGATCTTATCCTCAAAGTAGATTTCTCCACGTGATAAGCTAAGTCTGTGCAAACTACGCTCAGATTTTATTGAACAAGTGATAATCATGCTGACGTAAGAAACAATTTCTTACAAAACGAACGAACAAACGGAAACGGAAACGAAAACGGTGGTAATAACAAAAACTGGAGATGAAAACTGCTTTCAATTACCAATTGATTTGAGTGATATCTCTACTGTATCTTTCCTTAGTTATTAACGTTTAAGTACGCCGCCGCCGTCGTAATTTTGAGATTAAAGTCATGTTTACATACAAATATATTTATTAACATTTACATCATACAGTCAGCTTATAACCATGGGTCCCACACTAGGAGGTCCTGTATGCACCTAATGAATGTAAACAAGATTAAGGAAATTTAAAAATATCAGAGCAGTTTAAAATTTTACTTGAACGCGCAGGCGCAGGTTCGAGTCCCTATCTGATACCTGGACCATGTGGAATAATTTAACATAGTACCAATTAATTTCCTTTAGATTGATTAGTCTAGCAATTTAATGATTATTAATAACATTTAAATATAATATTATATTATTTATGATTTTATTATGGTAGTGAGGAGACATACATATCTTTGATGATTTATCTATTAATTATGCAATCGCATATGCTTTAAGCATGTTATAAATACTACATATAGTTATACGTTTTAAGTCATTGAATAATTACATGTTTATCATTTTATTGTTACAGATCCAGTTGTAAAGGTGTCTCTGGCAAGCTCAAATCTACAAAAATCTATTGAGTACTGGAATGGTCTGCTGACGCTGAAAATATTCGAGAAGAAAGACAAATCTGTGTTGCTTGGTTTCAGTGACGACCAAGCCAAATTAGAAGTTGTTGAAATTGGTGAGTCGCTGGTGATAAATTACGCAGATTCCTATAACGAGATCAAATATTAACTTCTAAACATAAGACAAGACATCCACTGCTTTTACTTGTTAAGCATCTTTGTTTCTTCTAAATTTAAAGTTGAAATCATGCTGTTCAAATTTTTCTCTGAGCGCAATACTTTAATTAAGGCTGGGCGCATATGTACGGCTTCCTGATTAGGAATTCCGATTCGGAAACCTGAATGCATGTCCTTCCATAGAAAATGTTAACAGGTGGACACTTCTTATTTTTTTCAGAATAAAAAAAACCGGAACGTCTGCACGCTCACGGAATTCCGAATCTGTACTCTTAATATAAGTTTGAGCTCACCAAAACTATCATAGTTTTCGTAATTGTAAATTATGTTTCTATGTCCATTTTGGTGAAAACTAACCAAATATACTTAAAATTTAAGAAGATTTAATGATAGAATTAAAACACTGTTATTTGTATTGAAACGAAAACAATAAAATCAGTACCCTTAGTATGAGTGCGAGCTCACGAAAATTATCATAGTTTTCGTAATGGTAAAACTCGTACTAAGGGTACTGAATTCCTGATCAGGAAACCGTCTAAATATGAATTGCGCAGGTTTTAGTTCAGTGAAACTATAGACATAGAGAATGGAAAGAGAGAATATACAGCATACCTATACGAACTATTAACCGCCCAACCCGCTTCGTCTCTCTCTGTCTCTCTATCTTTCATACTTACTTTCGTTTACAGATGCAAAGGGGACGCTCAGTCTATTCTCTATGTTTATGGTGAAACCCCGCACGTGCCTATATTCCGTTTACTGCGCGACGACTTGCGCTAACTTAACAGGACAGGGGTCATTGAGTTTGAATCGCTGACTAACCATAAAACGAACTTTTCAGGTGAACCAGTGAATCGCGCAAAGGCGTACGGGCGCATAGCTTTCTCTTGCCCGTTCGACCAGCAGCCGATAATCGAGAAAAAGGTTCAGGAGGCCAACGGAGCAATTCTTACGCCGCTCATATCGTTAGACACGCCGGGAAAAGCGACCGTCCGAGTTATTATTCTTGCCGACCCGGACGGACACGAGATATGCTTCGTCGACGACGAAAGCTTCAGGCAGCTGTCCCAAGTCGACCCGCAGAGCGACGCCGACCTTGACAAGTTCATTAAATCGGACAAATCCAGGGCTTAAAGATTTTTTTGCATGTTTAAATGAGTGATTTTTTCATAAGTTGATTTGTCTTCTTTTTGTAATTTCGATTTTATATTCTCGTTTGGATGGAGTAGTAACGGTTTTAGTTACGATTTAATCTATTAGTACTGTGCCACCAATAACACTCGTGAAAGCGTACATCCATATCCCTAAACACCCCGGGATAGGCGACCGTGCTGACCCGGACGTATACGAGATATTCTTCGTCGAAGACGAAAGCTTCGGGCAGCGGTCAGAAATAAAAAAAAAAATCGTAGGCAATAGTGATAACCATAGCAATCTCGTTATTCGATTGGCCTCTAGATCTCCATAGAGTGAGACGATTTGTACTTAAGGGGTATGAATCGAGCGAGCTATGTTGGTGGTCAAAGAATATAAGAGAAAACCCATTTTTTACTGACTTTATAAAGGCTTTGTACGACAAAATCAGCTGAGGAAAAAATCAAGCAACTTAATTAATTACAACATTTGAATTGTCAAAAACATATTATTAAGTATACAGTTGTTAAAAATGTGATATAACTTTAATATTGGTGTTTGTGAAACCCTAGCATTCCGTTAGGATTATCGTATAAGTATTGTTTGTTACTTCGAAATTATTTATTACGGCAATGTACAATAACTATTTACATTTACGTCGAATTCTAAAATATATTATTATTTTACACCAACGATATTAAATACCCTAGATATACCACGTGCGCTCAAAATGTGTCCCAATTAAGAAGTGCTTGAACACCATTCAAGCACTTCTTTGTTCACAGTCACGCGCGGCCCGTTGAAAAGTCAAGATGCCGCAGAGCTCTGTGCAAAAAATGCGACAAAAAATACTTATACTACGTAAAGTGCCGTTTTTCGACAGGTTAGTCTTAGTCTTAGTCTTAGTAGTACGGCGGGCTGTTTCCGCAACTCGACACCTAGTGCCTATTTTGCGTGGGGGATTGGCATCAGTCCTGCCATCCCAGCTCCTCCAGAAAGCTCAGCAGTTCCCTAATGTTGCTGCAGGCCTCTACTATTGTCTTCGGGCTTCCCATTAGAGAAGTCCTTTGTCTTGCAACGCCCCTGCACTCCAGTAGGACATGGGCGCTCGTCTCATCCGCCTCCAGGCAGGCTCTGCACAGAGGGCTGTCAGAAATACCTATATTACAAAGGTGTTTGTTAAAGTAGCCGTGACCCGTGAGTATACCCACGATTTGTTTCAGGGCTTGTCTAGGTAGTCTGATTAACTTACGTGTTAGTTGCAGGTTTACCTTAGGAACGGCTTCCCTGGCTTGCCTGCAGTCCGTGAGTTCCGACCAGTAATCGTCGTGTTGTCGTTGAGAGCGCTCCCTTATCCAGGTTCGCAGCTGCCGATAGGGTATGGGTATAATTGGCTCCGGACCAATGGCCGTCCTGCTAGACCCCTCCCTGGCTAAGCAGTCCGCCGCATCATTACCCCTTGAGCCGCTGTGTCCTTTAATCCACTGTAGGGTCAATCTATTGTCGTTCGCAATATTAGTCAACTTACTGTGGCATTCGTAAATTAAGCCTGATGTCATTATATTGTTGTCCAGTGCCTGTAGGACAGAAGCGCTGTCAGAGAGGATACGAATGTGTTTACCTCTTACCCCGCGACATTCTATCGCCTCAGCAGCTCTGATGATGCCCACACACTCTGCCTGGAAGACCGTGTTATAGGCACCCAAAGCTGTCGAGATGTGTATATTCAGGTCTTCGGAGAAGACACCCGAGCCCGTACCACAGTTGGTTTTTGAACCGTCTGTGTAGACCCTCAACTCCTTATGCAGACAACGGTCCGGGGTGTCTTCATAAAGTTGAATTTTGTATTTTTTGTCAAATACGTACGTCTTGGGAATAAGGTCGTTTACTGCTGCAAAGTACGGAAAGTGCCTGTGTATGTCTGCCAACATGCTGGTGTGCGGGGAGTTGTTGTCTCTCCAATGCCCCAGCATACTTAGGCGCGTGGCTGTACATGCAGCTTCCTGTTGTATAAACAAGTGGAGTGGTCTCACGTTAAGTATTGTCTCCAGTGCTGATGTGGGAGTGGTTTTCATGCAGCCGGTGATTGCACAGCATGCCCGCCTCTGGAGACGTCTTAACTTATTAATTGTCGTTACCTGGATTGTCTTGGTCCACCATACTACTGCTGCATAGCTGATGATGGGCCTAATTATGGTCGTGTATAGCCACTTAACAATGAGCGGTGATAGTCCCCAAGTTTTGCTAATCATTTTGCGACATTGCCAGAAAATGATGTTAGTCTTCGTTGTAGTTTTGTCTATGTGGGATCCCCAGTTCAGTTTGGAGTCTAGGGTTATTCCTAGATACTTTACCTCGTTGGAGAGCCTCAGTGTCGTGTTAAATAGTTTCGGTAGCCGATAGTCGCCTAGTGATCTTTTATTCGTGAACATGACCAATTCCGTCTTCACTGGGTTCACCTTAAGGCCGTAGTCGTCACACCATTTTTCAACAACCTTCATTGCCCCTCGCATAACATCACAGGCGGTGCTCGCAAACTTACCTGGAATTATGATTGCAAGGTCGTCCGCGTAGCCCACCGTGTGGTAGTGAAGGTTGTTTAGATTGGTAATTAAGTCGTTTACAACTACATTCCATAGCAGAGGCGACAGTACTCCTCCTTGAGGGCATCCTTTAGTTGCCAATGCTCTGAGATGGTTGTCGTCTTGTAGTCTGATTAGTCTGTTACGGAGCATGTTACTTACCCAGTATATAATGGTCTCATCGACTCCGTGTTTGCCAAGTGCGTCTACTATGCTGGCGAAGCTTGTTTTGTCAAACGCGCCTTCTATGTCTATAAAGGTGCCCAGACATAGCTCTTTCCGTCTGAGACTATCCTCTATTTTACTTACGACTGCATGTAGTGCAGATTCTGTCGACTTGCCTGGACTATAGGCGTGTTGGTTCGGATGTAGTGGAACATTGACTAGTTGGTTGTCTCTCAGCTCTCTGTCGCACAGTCTTTCCAGGGTCTTTAGCAGAAATGATGAGAGACTTATTGGTCTGAAAGATTTCGCCTCGTTGTAGTCTGCCTTACCCGGTTTTGGTATGAAGATTACCTTGACCTCCCTCCAGAGCTTCGGGGTGTATCTAAATGCAAGACACGCTCTCAGGAGGGGCACCAGGATAAGGATTAGTGCTTCACCTGCCCATTGAAGCAGCGCCGGAAAGATGCCATCTGGTCCGGCTGCCTTGAATGGCTGGAAGCTGTTGATGGCCCACCTTAACTTATCTGTAGACACTGTCTTCAATGCAGTGTTCCAGGATTGTTCCGTGGGGGTCCAGCTAGTGTCATTCCATGTATGTGTCGTGTGTATGATGCAGCCCGGAAAGTGGGTTTCAAGTAGTACCCTCTGTGCCTCCTCAGTTGTTTCTGTGAGGGAGCCATCAGCCTTCCGGAGCTGTGCTAGGTCTTGCTGCCTATCTTTAGATAGCAGTTTCCTTACCTTATTTGCCTTTGTGCATGAGTCTATATCTGAACAAAATTTTCTCCAAGACCCATTGCTCCAATGTCGGATGCGTCTCTTGTAAAGTGCCTTGGCATCTTTGTACGCATCCCAGTCCTGGTCGTCACATGTATTCATGGCCCTGTTAAAAAGTCTTCTTACCTTTTTCCAGTTTTCGACAGGTTTCTAATCAATCTTTGTTAAATTAACGCATTTGAAGCAAATTTTGTTCTAATACTTACTATAAACTGATTTAATAAAAAATAATAAAAAAATCCTCGCGCGGTTTATACTCTTCCGCATAGAGCAATATGTCGTTAAATTTTACGAGCTCGCATTTCGAACCGTCATTTGACGCATGCGTTTTATTTACGACCTTATACAGTATTCATTAAAGGTGACTTTCAATGTTTAAATAATGCCTTATATTGTTAATCACTACACGATTATGACACAGATGTCCGTGGATCGTCTAATGATTTTGGCCACGATTTTGTTCGTGTTGTTGTATCTAGGGTATTCTATATTGTTGCTTTACACAGTAATTTTGTAGTTTCAATGTTTTGTCCTTGTCCTGAATAGAAACATCTTGCAATGCTCATTACTTGAGTGCATTTAATATTATTTTCAGTGAATTATGTGACATGTGATTGCCTTGGTGACCATGTTCACATGATCATGTGACCAGAGCGCACTGTTTACCCTATTTGTCTTTTAAGTAATATTTGTACGAGAAGAAGTAAATGACTAACTATTACGTCATTCTAAAGTTATATATATTTTTTTTGTGTTCGCGCGTATCTCCGGTGCTTTTTCTAAATGGCTTCGCACGGCACGTGCATTTAGCCAATGTCAAGTGTTAAAAATGTTTACAAATTCAATAGCACTCGTGGTCAAAGTAATAAATCAAGTCAAAGTAAGTGGCAGTCAAGTGAATTCCTCTTTCCCTATGTTTCAGTAACTGTGTGGGGATTTACTGGAACCTCCCCGTGGACTTCTTGAGGGAACGTCGAAAGACACTTTCCACTATTTTGTTTCACCTGCCAACACTTGTGCATGTTCCCGAACACTTAGGTTAATAATCGACCATTATTAGACACTAACATCCGCCACAACACAAATTTTAACAAGAAAAACGAAACTGCTAAAGCGGTGTTCGTTGACCGATTTTTAGGATTTTTTTATATTTATTTTTGGAGTTTACACCTTAAGAATCGATTTGCATAAGGGGCCCGGTATGAGAAAAATGTGAGGAGTAAAATCTACTGAACAAATGACCTCGTTACGTTTTTGTGCGCAACCTCATCTGCGCACTTTTCACTTTTAGACTTTTGCATATTTTTTCGACTTTCGAAATATTTTTTTGAAAAATTTAAAATGGACTATCCATCAACATCATGTGATCATAACAATACCACTAATATTCCGAAAAAAAGCCGTGTTGACTCATGTTTTGTGCCAATCTACTTCAACTAAGTTTCCAAATAAATTGTTTTTGACTGGAACTTCTGACCCAAAACTGAAAAAAGTGGTTTCAAGCTGCAAAGAGAAATGACAATTATTCTCCAAAGACCATTATTCGATGCTGTGAAGATCACTTTGACGTAAGTCGGCGAATATAATTGTTATATGCTTAATTAATCTGCTTAAAAACGCATTAGTAACCTACCTAATACTTACAAAACCTGTCTATAACATATTTTTAATTTTACAGTTGGAGAATGACGTCGAAAATTAGATAAACTTTTTTTTTATGCTAAATAGGCAATGCGTTTGACCACAATCTCACCTGATGGAAAGCGATGATGAGGACCTAGAATGGTACACGCCTGCCTAGAAGATGCCTGTTCACTCTGGCCTTGAAGATGTCCAGGTTATATTGGTCCGGGAAAACAGACCTCGGCAAGGAGTTCCACTCCCTAGCCGTTCGTATAATGAAGGCCGAAGCAAATCGCTTCGTGCGAATGGGAGGAACTTCGACAACATATGGGTGGAAGCCCTCGCCGCGCCTGGTCGTCCGGTGGTGGAAAGGGGAAGGGGGGATCAAATTATGTAATACCTCCGCACACTCTCCGAAATGTAACCGATAAAACACCGAAAGGCAAGCTACACGTCTTCGGTGGCCAAGGCTCTGAAGATTAGCCTCAACGAGAGCGTCATTGCCTATGAGTCTCTTCGCACGGTGTTCCACCGAGTCCAGTGCATCCAGCTGATACCGAGCAGATCCGTCACAAAGGTGACAACAGTACTCCAAGCAGGAGCGAATTTGGGATCGGTAAAGGTTAAGGAGCTGCTCAGATGTTAAATATCGCCTGACCTTAGAAAGTATTCCAAGTTTTCTGGCAGCGGTTTTAGCAATGGACTCGATGTACCGAAATTGAGGCTGGATGAGATGTCCATACCCAAGAGCTCGAGATGGTCTTTAACCGGCACGGAGACATTTCGGAAAGTCGGAGTCAGATGGAATGGACTCCGTTTCGTCGAGAAGAGACAGGCCTGTGTTTTAGAGGGATTGAATCCAACCAAGTTGGCTTCACCCCAGAGGGAAACAGCTTCCAGGGTTGCATTCACTCCCTCCACCATCGCCTCCCTTAATGATCGGACATCTGCATCAGACTTCACATCAGGCAGATATCTCCCCGAAACTGTGCTGTCGTCTGCATACCCAAAGATACCGGGAGTTAGGAGCAGATCATTGATGTGCAGCAAGAAAAGGGTTGCGGAGAGGACAGATCCCTGGGGGACACCGGCATTAATACCAAGCAGATCCGACGATGTGCCATTAATGACCACTCGTATCGATCTGCCCCTCAGAAAATCTGCAATCCAGTTGCAAAGTCCGACAGCGATTCCATATGAAGGAAGCTTGCCAATGAGACTTGCATGCCAGACCCTGTCAAAAGCCTTAGAAATATCAAGAGAAACGGCGAGAGCTTCGCCGCGTTTCTCTATGGCTTCACTCCATAAGTGGGTAGCATACACAAGAAGATCCCCAGTAGATCGCCCACGGCGGAAACCGAATTGGCAGTCACTGAGGAGATCGTTATCTTCGAGGTAAGCGAGGAGACGGTTGTTCAATACACGCTCCATAATCTTACAGAGTATGGAGGTGATTGCAATAGGTGGATAGTTGGCAGGGTCGGCACTACTACCCTTTTTGGGCACTGGTTGGACATTGGCAAGCTTCCAGGTTTTCGGAACTTGGCCAATCTCAAGGGATAAGCGATATAGGCGAGTCAGAATAGGAAACAACTCAGGGGCACAATTCCGCAGGACAATAGCTGGAATGCCATCGGGCCCACTGGCTTTATTCACGTCTAGAGTGCTTAGCGCTTTGAGTACCTCTTTCTGATGGATGCGAACTTCCAACATGGTAGAAGAACACTGAGGAAGCTTAGGTGGGTTTACGCCAGCAGCATCTAGCTGTGGGTTGTTCGCAAATATAGAGGCAAACAAGTCAGCCTTCTCTTTGGAGGTGTGAGCCAGCGATCCGTCAGGCTTAATTAAAGGCGGCAGCGACGACCGGCAAAAATTGGCTTCGACTGTTTTGGCTAGAGACCAGAAAGCCTTGCTTCCGGATGGAAAGGAAGCTAATTTTCTCCTATACGGCCAATGTGATCGAAGCGGGCCTTGCGGAGAACACCTTTACAGGACTTGGCGGCACTGTTAAAGGCCTTCTTTAGACTTTGAACATTTGGTGATTTGCGGGCTCGAGCATCCGCCCAGGAGCGATACGCAAAATGCTTAAGCGCCTCTGCTTTAGCACAGTCCGCGTCAAACCAAGGGCGGGCGCTAAACCGGCGCGGTACGTCAGAGTATGGAATAAAGTACTCCATAGCTTGACGCATCACGTCAGCAATGGCATCCGCGCAGCAAGTCGGGTCGTCCGAAGAAAAGCAAGTGCGACGCCAAGGATAAGATGCAAAGAAATGCCGCATCTCATCCCAGTCTGCTGAACCATATCGCCAAACACGCCTAGTTCCGATAGGTTCCGGGTCGCTTGGAGAGTAGACTGATACGTACTTCACCAGACAGTGGTCGGAACTCCCTAGAGGAGGCGAAATTACCACCTGGTAACGGTCCGGGTCTGTTGACAGCAGAAGGTCCATTCAGTTTGGTGTGTGGCCATCAATATCGGGTACACGTGTAGCGCCCTTCACAAGCTGGGAGAGACCTAGCGACATAGCAAATGTGTGCGCTAATCTCCCGGCATGGTCGGTTTTCTGGAACGGGAACAACCACTCATGGTGGTGTGCGTTAAAGTCCCCCAGAACGACTAGCTGCGCACTCGGGTACTTTTGCTGGGCTGTTTCAGCGGAGGCGCTGAGGTACTGAAAAAACCTGGTTGTCTCCATGTTCTCTGTGTGCGACCGATAAACACTGGCATAGAGTATTTGCTCTATACCTGTGTTCACCAGCACCCATAATGTAGAGAAACTGGGATCCTCAAGGTTGCGGAGACGTTGGCAGCAGATGTCATCATGAGCATACACGCAGGTGCCAGCGCGCGATTTAAAATTGTGCTCCAGGATGTAACTTGGGTAATGCAAGTAAGCTGCGTCAGTCGGGCATCTTATTTGAGTCTCCGTGAGGAACAGCAGATGTGGTTTATCGGTATCAAGGTGGTGATGGACACTATCGATATTTGAGTGCAATCATCGGATGTTAGCAAGGTGCACTTTTAGTGCGAGGGAGTGCATCCGCTGTTTCACCAGTTTCTTTCTTTTAACGTTCATATTTTTTTCATAAGAAGAGAGTGAACAGGCAGGAAGGGGACAGATGAGCGAGACTCTGCTAAGCTACTGCCAAGCGATGCAGTTATGACGCCACACTGACGGGTGACTGAGTTGGAGCGCGCGGGGACGCCCTAACCCCCCCAAAGGTGTCCATCGGGCCCTCACATCCGGTCGCCAACCGGCACGATGGCGCACCCTGAGATTTTTCGCGAGTTGGCGGGGCAGCCTTTCGTAGGTGGCTTTCCTACTACTTGGGGCCCCCTACTACCTGCGGTCGGCCAGCGGAGAACCGTGCTTAGGATCCCGCTACCCTCCGCGATCAGCCACCCAGCGCAGCAATCATGCAGCACCGAAGCCGGCAAGCTGTACATCGCAACTGCTCGGACCCCCCCCCCCCCCCCCCCCCCCAAACGGCAACACCAGGCATCGAGCCGAAACACGATGAAAGTCTTTTGGCGGCTCGGCTTTGCCTAGAGGGTGGTTACCAGCCACGGTCGAAACCTACCACCGGTGATGTGCCGTACATTTGGCGCTACCCAGGGGACACGTGTGGGTATCTAGAGCTAAAGCCCACGGACGCGCTCGGCTTTATCCCCTAACAAAACTTTAAAAACTTTAATTTTAAAATGTGTGGCACAATCTTCACATTGGCAGGACTAAACCAAGCTTTGCGTTTCATTTAAAATAACTGTAACACGATAACCTTCTTTACGTACTTTATGCTCCGGAGAACTTGACCTTTTACTGTACATAATTCTCCATCTCTTTTAATTTGGACATAGCCGATTGCATTATCGTCGTAACATTTG